GGCTTTAAATGAAAAGAAAATAAGCACACAAAACTTCAAATGTTTTCTGAGGGCTTCCCAGCTCCCCTAGCATCCTGGACTGATTGGTCATGGCATGGCTGCACTCAAGACTGGGGGAGCTGGTACATCCACAGGGTCACACCTGCCGTCACGTGTTCACTTCATTTAATACTTCTTCAGTTAATTTTCTCTGCAGATTCATTCACCGGACTCATAAACATAATGACGGACATAATTTGGCGCTACACTGGAGATTTCATGGCTCCTGATATCGTTTGCAGAGTTGTTCGTTATTTCCAGGTATAGAAACCTTGTGCTCCCCTGTATGCCCAAGCTCGCATGGCTTCGTGTCCCCATGGGAATAACCCCTGATAAAAATGCTGTACAGACATTTTTGTAGCATCAGAAGTGCTAAATGCTTAGTGTTCGTTTAAAGCTGAAACCTTTTAATTAAAACATATGAAATATTTTAAATTTTGTAAACAAGACGAAGGAAAAATATCTGGGTGAAAATACAAAGGTTTTTTTTATTTTCCTTTTTTTTTCCTCCAGTAAAAGTTTCCAAATATTCTTAGTTCAATGTTCTTTCTGACATTATTTTCTGCAATAAATGTGTCTCAACTGCTGCCTCATATACCTTCTGCCCCAGGTGGTCCTTCTCTACGCCTCAACTTACGTCCTCGTGTCACTCAGCATAGACCGGTATCATGCCATAGTTTACCCAATGAAGTTCTTGCAAGGAGGTAGGAGAATTTCTGTACCTTGCTATTGCTATGGATGTTATTGGAAAGTTTTTTAGTTTCAAAATTCATGACCTTTTTGCCATGAATTATTTATAAATTTGGACTCTGTTACAGTTTTCTAAATGACAAAGGAGCTGTAGTTTCGAGATATATTAAGCCTCACTTAGCCCTCAGCAGTTTTTATAAGCATTGTGTTAGCAAAGAATGAAATGACATTTTAAAAGGTATAGAGGATTTCATTATCTTCCAGCATTTTGAGAAGGTTATTTTGGGCAAAAGCTATCCCTCGTAGAACTGCACTTACTCTAGGAACTGCAACAGCTGTATTGTCTATTTATTCACACTAAAAAATATCTTGGATAGACAGTGTAGTATTGAAAAGTCATACAATAGTTTGATAAGAGAACTTCAAAAGCTATAGCATGTAAGTTTGGATATCTATTGTTTCTTGTCATTTCTTCTATTTGTTATTTTTACAGCACACAAATATATCCTGGCTGCTTATCAGTGCAATTTAAAGAACATGATTTCCTTCCTACAGAGCCTAAACTGAGACGCTAAGCATGTCGCACTGAGTGAATAAACAGAAATAGCAGGTGGGGAGGAAGGGGAACAGTTACAAGAACCATGAGATCCAGAGGATGTATTTTAATGAGACTCAAATATCGTTCTTGTTTTTGGAGTAATGATGACTTTTGACAGCCTGATCTATTCAGGGGATCAGATTAATGGTCCTTTCTGGCCTTAAAAACCTATGAATCAATCACAGCCCAGGCAGTGGTGCAGCTTTGACAGATATTAAGGTCTGAAAACTTCAAATACTTTGTGAAATTTAGCCTCATATTCCATGGCATGCAGATCAACTTTTTCAGACCAGAGTGGTCGATATGAAGGTTTTCTCAGCAGGGTTTGGGATGCAGGCTTTGGGAAACTCTGCAGCTCCTGCCGACGTTGAGACAGGCTTGGGAGGGGTCATAAATCACCTGAAGCATCGACCATCAGCTGAGCAGGGCAGATGTGAGACAGGCTCACTGACATTTGCTCTTCATACATGGTACAGGAAAAGCAGCACTTGTTAAATTACTGCCTGGGCTTAGTAAAGAATTCTGTGGTTCATCTTTGCAAATGACTTTGAAGTTGAGAAAAAACCAACCAAACCACCTCATGGTGCTCATATAATTTTTTCTTTTCTTTCTAAGGCTGGTGAAGAGCAGACATTGCGCCCAGCCGAGGGCAGCAGAGCCATCAGCTGGGTGCAGCTCAGGGGGGTGAAAGGCCATGATCAGAGAGAATTCTGGCAAAGCCCACCTGCCTCTGGCAAGGGCTGGCTACACACTGATGGTCAATCAAAGACTATTTTCAAAGGGAAAAAGGAGGCAGCTGTAAACATAAGAGAATTCTCTAGGGAGGTATATTTACCATAGCAACTTCTGGTACACACATCAATATTCACCTTTTGCACCTACCTATTCCTAGCAGAGGTGTGGTGAGCTTTTGAAATGCTCTCTTAGCTATTCTGCAGGCAGAGAACAGAGAGATTTACCAAACTTTGTCATTAGTAATGACACAGAGAGACTTTAAAACCAGTTCTGAGTCAACTTGTGGCAAATTTCTTTCCAAACTGAAACACTGATCCCCCCAGAATCGTTCAATCAAGAAACAGAACGGTTGTTTCTCCTTAACAATTTTTAAAATTATGTTTCCATGTGGCCTTGAAATATCATTTGGGGGAAAAAAAAAATAGATTTTGCTTTCAAAAAATCTTTTTTTTTTTTTAATCGTGGTTTAGTTACTAGCCTTAAGTCATGCTAAAAAACATTTGCATGGTTTCTAAGAAAACAAACTTCAGGAGTTACATATTTTAAACTCACTTTGCAGATACATAAATGACCACAGAAAGTGAAGGATGTGGAAGAATTATATATTGCAATCCTCATGCTTTTACTGTATGAGGCACCTAATCCAATAACCAAAGTGGTCATTAAAAAAATCATAAAATAAAGATAGGAAAGAGAAAAAACTGAGAAGTTACATCAGAAGATATTTTATAAATATTTCACTATATTGAAAAGACATATGCAAGCAGTACACAAACTACACAGCAGGCAACAATAGAACTGCTTAAGTAAAAGACAAAACCCGAGTAGGTGCACATTGTCCCTTGCATGGCCTTGTGCTGCCAATGATGCTAAGGTCCAGCAGATCAATGAGATTCTGGAACAGCTTTCTCTTTGGATTTAAAACCTATTTTTAAAATGGCACTTGCTTTATAGAAGGATTGCATAACACTGCTGTGTATGGCAGAAAGGATCAAAACTCCTCCCAAGAGGGTCCCCCATCGTCTGTTGCTGGGAGCAGGCAGAAGTGCACAAACCCACCGTTGCAGCACCCGGATGCTGAAGCAGAGCAAAGGGGATGGTGCCATGAAATGTCCTTTAGGAGACCCAGTCCCAGAGCTCACGAGTGAGACTCCTGCTCCAACCCTGGGTGTTAGTCTTGACCACCCCAGTATGAAAAACTCTCCATTTAAAGAGCAATATTGGTTTTAAAGGAAAATACTGAGACTGGCTGAATAGAATATAATATTTCAAAAGCTGCTATTTATTTGATTCCATTTATAATTGATGATTTGCTGGCATTTAGAGCATATTAGAACATTTACAAAAAACAACATTAAAACCCCCTGTTTGTGAGGCAGCCAACTAACATTACTCAGAAAAACCAAAAATCTACTTACCTTGATGTCATCAGTGCCCTGCAGAGCCCTTTAGACTAGCAAGGCTATATTCTACCAAACATGAGAGACATTTAAAAACAAGATTAAATTAACATTGCAGGTAATGTTTTATAAAACACAAAGACAAAATACCACTCTTGCCCAACCCAACTTGCCTACTTCTCTTCAAATTAAGGACATCGTTACACAGTGAAAAGAAAGTGTATTACCCAAGCATGATCTTTTCCCCTTAGAAACAGACATATGGGCCCCACTGAGGCTTGTATGTGTGTAGTTTAAGTAGCTAGCTCACAGCTGAAAAGCCCTTTCTGTCAGGACATATTTTGTGAAAGTTACTCTTAATATTCTTTTGCTAAGTTTATTCTGTTAAGCTTTGGGAAACTTTACAGATCTCCTTTGCCTGTGCAATATTTATAGACTTAATCTAACCCTCTCACACTGATGTCATCAGAGTTCCCTTAAGCCCTAGATTAGCAAGACTATTTTGCTGAACGTAGGTAGCATTTAAAAATGAGCAGGATAAGTGAATATTTGCAACTGATGTTTTATAAAGCACAAAATTACTTTTTGAATGTTTCTCCCACATGCTTTCATATTGCTTTTTGAGCATCAAGGAGAAAAGACTTTCTTCTTGGTATGCATAATTTAAAGTGAACCTCTCTTAGACACACAACCTTTTGTAGGACAATAAAGTATTTCGACACCAAAGATTGCCAGATCAAAAACTCTGTCCCCATCTGTTCCTCCAGCAATCTCACTCAGAAGGAATAACTGCTTCTGAGAATTACTGGTACTCCTCAGATCAGCCCTTTTTTCCCCACACTTTTTAGCTAGAGCTACCTGGATTTTAGCCAGAAAATGCATATTTGTGAATATGAAAGCCTTGGAGCTGCTTGCTCCATCCCTTTGATTTTTACAAAATTCCATGGGTGCTCCAGGCATCATTGGTTTTCCCAACAGTTTTCCCTACTTGGTAACACAGGAGGCCAGAAGCCAAGAGGAAGGTCTGACCCATGTTTTGGGATCCTTCAGCTCCTGATCTTCACCATGAGATCCAGCAGGATCTCCTAGTCAGTGCCGGTTGTGGCAGATAAAACAGGGCTGAGCACTTGAGCACCAGCCCACCATCATCATGGTTAACAGTCCACCCTTGGCATGGCTTGGGTACGTGCCCATCAAGAGGAGCTGCGCTTGGTCCCTGCCATGGTGCAGAGAACAGCAGGAGATGCCCGTGGTCTCCAGGACCACGTTTCTTTTGGGGCAATAAAGCTGCAGCTGGAATTAAAGGCGGCTGGGTGCGTAATTTTGTTCAGATCCTTAACGGAGGCACTTTCTCTTTCCTGATAGGAAATGTTTTGCAACCTTTCTGATGTCAATGTGCATCAAAATGTTTAGTTTTCATTCCAAGGAGCCCATTTCTCCTGCCAGTACATCCAGTACGCTCCAACCCAGTTTATGTTTTAAGTAACCCTTCCCAGTCTCAGCCTTCCTCCGTTAACTGTAGCACAAGGTCTCCTTCTTCTTTTCTGTCTCTGTTCTACTGACCTCTGCTTTGCTGTGCCAGGGCAAGAGTGTGCAGAAAGGCAGGCCTGTGGTCCTTTGCATTCATTCGTGACGCTGTCGTGGTGGTGCAGAGGGACCATTTACATCTCGTTTTTCTGCCATGCTGACCCTGACCACTGCCTTCCTCATAGCTTTTCAGTGGGCCCTTAGCATCTTTAACTAAGACATGTAAAATACAAACCCATAACAACATGGCTTTTTATCGTGAGAAAGAGGTGGAATCCCCATTCTCCTTTGCAGTCTTTTGAGCATCAGCCAGCTGCAGCCCAAAATTCCCTTCTCCACTGTTTCCTCCTCCTCCTCCTGCATTTCTACCACTACTGCTACAAGGGGACAGTCACACCAGCACACCTGTTAACACTGTGTGTTTGACTCTTGCACAGAAAAACAGGCCAAAGTTCTCATTGGAGTGGCTTGGAGTCTCTCTTTCCTGTTTTCCATACCGACTCTGATTATTTTTGGGAAACGGCAGCTCTCCAATGGGGAAGTGCAGTGCTGGGCTCTCTGGCCTGATGACTCCTACTGGATACCCTACATGACGGTGGTGGCTTTCCTGGTGTACTTCATTCCCCTGATCATTATCAGGTAAGCTTGAACCGCAGTCAGCAAGCACGTGGTGAAAGCTGTCAAGTGTGCAATCAGCTTAATGCTTTAATTTCTATTCATTCTTTACAATTTCATTTCCGCACCTGCCTTATAGCTGTTATGCTTTTTACCACATAATGCATGGGTCGCTGTACTTGCCCCTGGGTGTTCTCTGTGCAGTACTAACAGACAGAAATATTTTCTCTGAAAAAAGACTGAATCTCTAAATGTGTCCACTTATCTCTGCAGATTCAGGCTTGAAACATAGCTTTATAAATCCAGTAAGAATGTCTAGCTAATATGACAAAATTTAGTTTTAATAAAAGAACAGGAAACCATACTTAATGCTAATTAAAGTAAAATTAACTTAAAGTGCTCTCAAGCTTCAGAGTAGTAGAAGAGTGTTTCTTGACCAGGATCAGAAAAAAATCTCAAAGTGTTTGAAGCCGCCAACCATACTTAAAAAAACTGAACAAATTAAATTCATCCCATTTTGTAATGAGAAACCTGAGTTGCAAATATCTGAGACTGATTTGCCCAAAATTGAAAAGATGATCTGCAGCAGAATCTGTTTTTAAACTAAGGTCAATTATATTTCCTAGACTGTGCTTGGTGATGAGTGAAATCTATTGCCTCCCTCTGGGGTCCTGCCTTTAGCGACTGTTAAACAGAAATTATCTACCCATGAGTAGCTAGTAATGCAAAGAAGCAGTCAAACACTGGTGTGGAGGAGGAAGGAGGTTTCTTAACCACCTTGAAAGGCTGCTGGTGGCAGTAACTGGTTCTCTGAGCCCAGATGTATTTCTTGCCTTTCTTTCCCTTTTATTCTCTTTCAGTAGCATGGTTACAATAGGATCTCTTGGTGTCAGCCTCTTCTTAGTGGCAAAGAGGACTTGCTGGGACTCCTTTTGCTCTCTATAATTTGGTGCCATGCTGTTTGGGCTGTGAGAGGAGCTACCTTTACATGTCCCTTGGACATCTCTCATGGTCCATCTGCTTTTCCAGCAGGTGATGAATCATGAATCTCGGTAGCTTCCTGCTCATTAGCACCCCAGGTTAGAGCAGGAGGGGAGAGGGGCTGATCTTTTCTAGATGATGGCAGGATTGGCTACATAAGCTAAATAGCAATGACCATGTTGTGGTTTTAGTTGCTTTCCAGTTTAGCTGTGCCTTGACTTTCTCACTGTTCAATCACAGAGTTCAGGTTCTGCACCTTCTAATGGAAACATGTTTATCTCTGGTAGAACCAACACCATGGGAGCATGGAAATCGTGGTGCTCCAACTCATTTAGCTGACTTTTTGACATTTTAGCTGACCAATTTTCATCCCTAGAGAGAAGGGACAGTATCTGTACTTTACTTGCAACATATCAGTTTGGGAATACTTCCATTTTTGTGCCTGATTGAACAGATATGCAAACAAAATCATGAGTAGTTCTACTTGAAGAAAAGACATAACAGAAATTGAGAAGAATCATAGAATCATAGAATGGTTAGGGTTGGAAGGGACCTTAAGGATCATCTAGTTCCACCCCCCCTGCCATGGGCAGGGACACCTTCCACTAGACCAGGTTGCTCAGAGCCACATCCAGCCTGGCCTTGAACACTTCCAGGGATGGGGCATCCACAGCTTCTCTGGGCAACCTGTGCCAGTGCCTCACCACCCTCTCTGGGAAGAACTTCTTCCTGATATCCAATCTAAACCTCCCCGCTTTCAATTTAAACCCGTTACCCCTTGTCCTGTCACTACAGGCCCTTGTAAAAAGTCCTCTCCCAGCACCCTTGTAGGCCCCCTTCAGATACTGGAAAGCTGCAATGAGGTCTCCTCGGAGCCTCCTCTTCTCCAGGCTGCACAAGCCCAGTTCTCGCAGCCTGTCCCCATAGCAGAGTGGCTCCAGCCCTCTGATCATCTTTGTGGCCTCCTCTGGACTCGCTCCAAGTGGTCAATATCCTCCTGATGTTGAGGGCTCCACAGCTGGACGCAGCACTCCAGGTGGGGTCTCACCAGAGCAGAGTAGAGGGGCAGAATCCCCTCCCTCGACCTGCTGGCCACACTTCTCTGGATACAGCCCAGGATACGGCTGGCCTTCTGGGCTGCCAGAACTATGTCCAGATTATCCAATTGCTCTTCCTTCCTACACAGGATCATATGTATGTTTACCTGTAAACATATGTATGTTACCTGTTTACCTGTAAAACCAGCCTAGCATTACATAAACCAAAAAATATTCTTGGGATTATGTAAATAAAAACATGGATCTGCAGCCCAGCATTAGCAGTAAAAAGAATAAATACACACAGATGAGACAAAAAGTAATTTAACTGTACAAAAGAAATGGCACTAGAAAACAGGCTGAGGATCATTTTACTGTGAGAGGATTTTTATTACGAATTTTCTCAATCAGGAAGTTCTAGCCATCATCTTAAGTGTTTTAGGGAAAAGGCCCATAGCCTGCCCAGTTTTCAGTCATTCCACACGTGAGGGAAACATCTCTCACACTCAAACTTACAGATTCCATGCTTTCCACTACAGATCAGCCACACCTTTTACGTGACATATATACTTGTTTGGCACGAAAAGGCAAGCTACACAGCAACAGATTTTTCAGAGCTGCTAACATTATGCTCCCCTCCTCCCTGCCAAAGGAAGATATTCAAACCAGATCAGCTCTGTTACTGGCTTTACAGTAAATGCCCAGAAGCAAGAAGGCGATGAAGACATGAGGGAAAGGGAAAGTCAATGAAACTGGCATTTCATGAGATTGCCCTGACAGCCGAGACACGAATTAAGCATCCTAAAATTCTTATGGCTTTAATCCTACGTGACTTTTACATGAGAAGTTTATGGCAGGACAGGAACTTAAAAGAGCAGCTTGGGAGTCACAGGGCAGTGCAGTGCCCATTGCCTGCCGAAAAACACATTCCTGGTTTCAGTGTACACTGACACAAATGCTTTCACGTCCTTGCCAGCAGAAGTCAAATTCTTGACTGATCCTAACTGGTACCAGGCACTGGAAGGAGGGATGGGTGGTGAGCCAGGGAAGGAACTTTTTCTGCTCATTTTATTTCTAGTTATCAGTCATACTATTTTCTTCAGAACAGAGATTAGATTGTCTAAAACCACATAAAAAGAGGATTGCCATCAGAGCAAGGTCAGCAAAGACATTATGAATAAACACCACACAGTTTGGAAGGAACTGGCTATTTTTTTAGAACATTTTGTCAAGTTTCAAGCATACAACTGAAGGTTGCAACTTCCCAGCTGATGCACCTGTAAAACATCTGTCAACATAGCTTCAAGGTGTGACATCTATTTCTTCAAAATTTCTTGACAGTCCAAGGGTTTAAAGCTAATCCACCTAATGTGGCTGCAGCATATAAATACTCTGGTAAGCAGTCTGCAGCCAAAGAATGGTGGGAATGGCTGTTAATATCTGCAGGGACTAGATTTTTATGCAAAAGTTTTGTTCCACTATAGGTGTTCACACAGTAGGTTTGATGACAAACAAGCTGCTGTTCCAGAAAGTTGAGTGAGAGAGATCAAGTACACCGTAGTTGTGTGTTTCTCTGTCAAAATATTAATTATAATAATGAGAGGTGGTTTTCAGTAAATACAGGAAGGCATTTCTGTGATTTTTTAAATTTAATGGTCTTTTGCTGAAGATGTTATAAAAGAAAGGCCTTAACAATGGAGAGATGATCCATAAATGTGCAACTGAAAAGTCAAGGATTGGTATCTAAGAAGCCAGGAATATAAACAAACCAGAAGCCAAGGTACACACCATGCTCACTGAGGAAGAATAAGACCTTTTCTGCAATAATTCATTTTGTTTGCGCAGCTACTTTATTTTCCCTGCCAAAGCACTCTGGTTTAGCTTCATGGCAGGTGCCTGATGCAATGTGGGGCACTGGCTGGCGGAGTTAATTCTTAATTAGTTCTGCTGCCTGAATCTGCTGAAAACCTAACCTCTAGAGCAAAGCAGTTCACTGATGACAGCACTTTTTCTAGTGCAGTTCATCTGAAGCACCTACAAAGGATAAAATTTTACTTTTCAGGTGTAGGACTTAATTCCACACTAGATATGACACTTTGGCTGAGCAGTTTTCACTTACTACAGTCCAGGTATCGTCATCTTTTAAGCTTCTCTCATCCATCCCAAGGTCTCTCAGCAGAGCTGATTTCATATGTTCCTGACACAGCCTTCAACTAACCCACAGGAGTTGTGTTATTCATAACACCACAGCCCCTGAAATGAATAATTTATTCGATAACCTTATGCTCAGTCTGGAAAACCCTTCCACCGACAAGCTAATCCCCCAGACATGGTGTGAGCAAACCCTACAGATTCCAAGCCAAAACACAAGCCAGAAGAAAACAACAATCTGTATCTTTGGTTTTGGGGGTATTTTTAAACATATATATATGAAAAGTCAATCTATGAACAAAACTGCAACAGCCCTGAAAGATTTAAATACTTGGGGGGTCTATTCTCACCACTTCTTCATGACTGGAGAATCAGCAATCAGTTATCAAACAGCTTGTTGTTGTGTGTCAAGTTTTATATCTGATTATAATACAAATGAACACAACCTGAATAATTAAAAGAGAATGAAAAACTGCAATTAGATTTTTAACCCAAGTGTGTGATTATCTTTGAGAGCTAGAAAAAGGGAGAATATTTGTTCTTTTCATGTAAAAGCTCCCCTCCTCCCCACTGTCTCTGTGTTGGTCAGCGAGAGCCACCGGTCCTGAATCACGTTCTTCTTTACAGCCCTTAAAACTTTGGCCTGTTCTTCCCTCTTAGACTAATCTACCACTTCTTCTGCAGTTGATGTTGTCAACCTACCAAACCCCAGAAAATTCAGAAAAATTAATGAGGCAACCTGCAGTAATTAGTTCTCTCATATTCTGGGACAAGTGTCATCAGCTATAACCAAAGCCGTTTCTCCTGCACCAAGATATGCCAAGCAAAGCCCAAACGCTATGTGTGTAGTTGAATGCCTCTGGGGCATTGCTGAGCAGAGGTTAAATGTGTCAAATCAAGATTACAGTCTTCTCTCTACAGTGTTACGGTTTGCACCTGGCCCCCTCAGGTCCTGTGATGGGGAGACAAGAGAGCTACGGTGTTTCTGTTCTGTGCCAAACCATAATTATATTCTGGCACTTGAGTATGCAGTAATTCAGAGTCTTTTTAACTGTTATTCACAATTGCCAAATATATTTTCTATATTTTAACTGATAAATGTAATACATAGACATTTATCTAATATAATTCCAAATTCAAGTTAAAAAAATTGCAAAAGTTCATCTTGAAGGCGAGAGGAAAAAATATCTATCTGTGGTTTAAAATCAAAACTCCAAAGAGAACATTTGCTTTGGAGCAGCAGAAAAATAATTAGAAGGGGGAAAAAAAAACCCACACAAACAAACAAACCAGAATCAGCTAAAAGGAATAAAATGGAACTAAAAATAAGGCATTGCAATGAAATAAAAAATAGATCAAGTAAAAGGTATTTGTCTGAATTAAATCGAATAACGGGAATAAAAATACCATTGATAAAAATACCAAAGGTCATTTTTTGAGCTTAATTCAACAAACACAATTGGTTTTGCCTGCAATTTCCATTTCTAAATAAAAACAAGCCTAGATCTGGCACATACGTTCAAATATCTGTCCGTCTACTCACCCATTACACATGAATACAATGGCTTGTTCAGATGACGTTGCATATGCCTTTTGTCTTTGGATACATAGTGCTGTCTATTAGCTACTATAAAACATACCACAGCTGCATCACTTTGCACAAATAAAGTACAAGGAACAATAGGCGACACTGGATGATAAATACAAGCAATTAGCAGCAAGCTTAGATGTACTTTTTGCCATGGTAGAGGCTCATTTTACTACCAAATACTGAGCCTGGGGGAGATGCTATCGTACTGCAATTATTTAACTAAATAAAAAACCCTGTGTTTAAAGAGTACAGATCAATAACTCTTATTATTGTTAATACCAACATATTGGTTTACCAAAAGACATTTTGTTTTCAAAAAAAAAAAGTGATCTAGAAATTAAAAATAAAGATGGAATGGGACTATTCACAGTAGCATTTGTATGACAAACTATAAGTTAGTTACATGGCCAAAGAATGCTGTAATTACCAATGGGGTCAAATTAAACACCACCATTAATGTACAACATGCTACAGTGAACATGCATCTTAGTCCTTCGGAATCTGGATCAAGCTAAATTGCTTTTGGAGATGCAATGAATTTCACTTGCGGAGTTACATCCATAGTCTGAACTGCATTCTTGTATTTTCCTGCCACCTCTACAGACATGCGTCCTATGAGGGATAGGAAAAAACCACTGCATTTTCAAAACAGCAACATGTCCTTTCCATCCTGTGGTCTTCACAGCCCAAACAGCTCCTTCTCAAAAATGCTTGGATTGTTTTTCCAAACAAGTTTCACTATTCCACCTGAGCTATTTCTTCCCATTCTTTAGTCTCTCACCTGCAAATAACAGGCCACAACAACTCGTATAGTATTTTAATATCATAATATACATTCAAGTGGCTACAGCACATGTTTATATACTGCCCAAGAATCCCCAGCGAGGATTGGAAGACCAGCGCACTACGTACTTACAGACACAAAGAAACCCATCATCTGGACCTAAAAAATTATACATCAAATCTCCTGGTGCTTTCAGTGGAGACAACAGCAAGGAGCATGCAGGCGTGCTACACGTGTTGTCAACCAAAGTCTGTGGCAATGTGGATGGTGTGCTTTTACAACTTGGCAGCGAGTAACAATGTCAAGAGGAAGGAGACAGATTACAATATGGTCAGAGTAGTGCAGACCCTTGCTGAACACCCTCCTGCCCATCTGATTACCAGTTGTCATCTGTCCCCCGCTACTCTTTGCTTATCTGCCACTTCATTTTCCATCAAGTGGGAATTTCTTCCCCCACTTTGAGATGTCACCAACCTCCCCATCCTCCTCTAACCACCTTTTACAGAAAGAAGCTACAAATGCATTCTGAAAAAAAAAAAAAACAAACACCTGCTTTTTGCTTGTAAGAAAAATACAACTTCTGTTCCATAAGTGCTCTCTTTTTGTTGTTGTGGCTTTGAAACACACACACAGACACCTCTTATGATCTAAAGCTTTGGGTGACACATTTCTGGAAACTCTAGTTTCTCAGCTCTGTGCCAGCATAGCTGGGGGAAAGAAAAAAAAAAAAAAAGATCAGGCACTAATAAGATCCGGAGTCCCAGAGAGATCAAAGCATAAAGGCATAAGTGTGTCTGGCAACAGAGTCACTGGGGAGTGTACCTAGCATGACAAGTGCCTCATCTTCCCTGACACCCACCCTGAGCAGCTTTATACCACCTCTGCTACCCTCCCGATAAGGAAGGCTCCAGTAGACCCAGCAATAGAAAAAAGAAAGATGAACAGAGGCAGAAACACCAATACAAATCCACTATGCTGGCAGCACTTTAGAAGCCACTGGATTAAACCAGGAATTAAACTTTCCCTTAGACTTCTAAAAATCAAGGATTCAAATGAAATAGCATGTCGTCCCATACGTGAAATTCCAAGAGAAGAAGACAGCTGCTGTAACTGCGCCTGGTGAAAGGGATGCTCCTACCAGGCTCTGCAGCAAACAGGGCAGGATTTCTGGGGCTGGAGGGAAAGCAAGTGAGGAGTCTGACTTCATAATTCAATCCTTGTGACACTTGGCTAGACAAAGAGAGTCTGAGGATTTTGACTAGGGAGGTAGGCTGATTTGTCCTGATGCTTAAGCCCTGCTGAATGAGTCCTGATGGACACATGCAGGTCTGCATCAGCGGGGATACTGTTTCAACTGTAAATAAAAAGGTCAGGCTAGAGACAGCAGGCTAGGGAGAAAATAGAAACAGGACTTTTAGGAGCTGGCTGGAAATTTTCTTGAGATGACAACAATTATCATTATACATTCTTATTCACCGGAACAATCAAAGGAGAAATGATACATGAATTTTCCACCATTGTTCACTACAAAGTACAAAGGAACTCTCAAGTGCACCAGAAGATAAATAAACAGGTACTTGAAAAGCCAGGATATAAAAGGAAAGTGTTCAAGTCAGCTGGGAGCCATGCTGGACCTTTGAGGGGATTAAGGCAGGCAAGCTAGAGGTCCGCCGCAGATGCGTGCCAAACCCTCACTGGGCAAGTACACTCCTGCTCTGCTGCACAGCCCAGACTGCACGCTGAACTTCCACATCTCACCTATTGAGCCTGAAAACCAGATGGTTCAGACTTCTACAGATAGGAAACCTCCAAAACACATAAATACTGCCTTTGCAAGCATGCCTCGGAATTGAGGGTGCTGTAGAAAGGGCTTGTATATCAGTCAGAGCTCTAATAAGTATAATGTCTCTTCTGATAATAAAATTAAGCCACTTGGTAGTAAGATACATTTTTGTCTCTCTCAAGAAAAAAAAAAAAAAAAAAGAGAAATAATTTCTCTGGTTGCACCTTTTCTACAGAGTCACCACAAATGTTTTTTGGTAATTAACAGTTATGCTGCCCCAGGCCTTCTGTTATGGTGCTTGGTATTTACATCAGGAAAACATGGCAACCTGAGTGCATTAGCTGAACTATTTTGAAATCATTTCTGTCTTCCTTAGGAGATCAAAAAGGAAAACAGCAGTCCAAAGCATGGTGTTGTTCCCTGCCCATGGCAGGGGGGTTGGAACTAGGTGATCTTTAAGGTTCCTTCCAACCCAAACCATTCTATGATTGTTATGTATCCTTGCAGGAGGAAAGGCAGACAGAGCAAGGTCTCGTATGTTTTTTTTATGTAAACTGCTGAAAAGGTAACATCCTCATCCAGGATGTAGGTTCAAACAGCTCGTCAGCCTGAAGGAATTATTTTTACCTACTCTATATTGCATAAATAGAATTCCAGATTTGTTATCACCTAGGAAAACTTCATAACTATGCGAGATCATCGTGGACCAGGGCACTTTTCATCTCTCTAATTAAAAGTAGATGTATGTTCCCCTCTAAACACAGAAATCGTGGTGGATCTGGTTGTTAAAAATCTAACTCTCCCATCTAACTGATACTTCTGTCCTCCTTGATTTCAGTCTCAGGACCCTGAGACCTCAAAGTGAGCACCATGGTACCTAAATGCATTTCTCATGGATCTTGCCCCTGTCGACATCCCCAGGGTACTGTTTTATTTGCTAGCTTCATAATCACAGAATAACACCAAACCAGAAGCGAAAACGCAGTCAAAACTTGTCCATCCTCTTGCTTCCCCCATTTTAGGGGTAACATCCTTCTTGCAGCTCCCAAGCCTACAAGCACACCCCTGTGCAGGGATGAGGTGCCTCCCACCTGGGGTTGGTACCCAGGCAAGTTTGGCCTCAGCCAACCCAAAATCCCCAACAAGCTCGAGCCTGCAAGACCTTGGCCAAATCACTGCATTCCTCTGCACCTCAGAACGGACATGTTCAAAGCCAGGACAACAACAATGAGTTTCATGGTGAAAACTTTTAGATCTGAAAATAACAATGGGAGAGTCATATTTTGTTGTTGTTATTATTCCTATGAAGTCCCGTCATCTCTCTGAGCTCCTTACACATAGATAAGTATATTCATAGAGCAAAAATGACTTAGATGTCAGTTAAACTTACTGTGCCTTATAATGTCAATGACTCTCTCTCTTCTGTAGCATCATATACTCAATTGTGATTCGAACCATCTGGATGAAGAGCAAAGCTCAGGCTGTCATCATAACCAGCTGCCCTGGTGAGTCTCAGTATACACGTCTCCAGTCTTACAATTCTAATCCAGCCAATTCCCCCAAATCCAAGGACATGTGGTGTCATGACTGACTTAGAATCATAGAATCATAGAAACTTCCGTCACTGGGAATGGCGTATCTGTAATTGCTCATTCATAACTCTTTTCTATAATGTTTACTTTCTTTGACACTAAATCCCTTTGAAAGAAACAATAAAAAATAACTAAAAGGTAAAAAATCATTATACTAGAACTTAGAATCCGTATTCGTCAAACTTCGCCCATTTCCTGAATAACTTTTTTTCTAGCAGATACTTAGTTAAGTCTTTTGCTGTGCTTTTGTATGACAAGTCTGGTTTTACTCAAGATCAGAAATTCCTGGCTATGGAAAGCCATAAAATGAGCTGATCTTTCCACCCCAAGACCATAAGCATTTTCGGAGTCTTCTGATCAATTTTAGCAAAGCATCTGAGCACAAATCATTTCAAGATCTTCACTTGCCAGGCGCCTTTCCTATTAGTTATGAAGAAAAGTGGTTCATTTACGCTGATGTGTTTTACGACATAACTGTAAGAGCGCACAACCAGTTAGTGCAGCCAAGTGGTGAGTGGAAACTCATCAAACTATGGGGATCAAGTTGCTGGTACTTGCCCGAAGCAGGATCATGGATCATGTCTGGCACACAAGGAAGTGTCCTAATGTGGTGTCACACATACTCAGATATCCCTGTGTCATAACCTGACAACTGTCAACTATAATCTAAGATTTACTCCTCCTTTGACAAGTTTGGGCAGGACTGATTTCTAATGATCCTGCTTTCATGACACAATCAGTATTAGCTAGTCTTGAAAAAAAAGTTATTCACTCATCCAATGAGTATATTCTGCTCTATAAATCAAAAAGTGATTTCTAGTAATATTAAGTATGGACTTATTTCAGTCTTCTAGATGGGATGTTTCACTGATAACAAGCCCACATTAGTTTTATTTACATTTTTTTACTTACAAATTATACAGCCTTGATATGCTGTTTTCATAAGAGGTGCAAAAAGTCACATAAATAGATTTATTTCCAATTACATTAATCAAAATTCCAGTCTTAAGTTTGGACTACAAGAGTTTAAAAATGTTTTGATAAAAAAATCACCTTCTTGTGTATTCATTACAGTGAACCTAATTATTCTGACCCAGCAACATGAACTGCAAATTGACATTAATAATGAAATCAGGCATATTATTGCAATCATGCTGGTACTGTTATTCAAATACAGAGAACTTGATACTCAGAGACACCAGTGTGGCTTCAGAGGAAATAAGATCAACTGGCCTCGGTGTGAGACTGAATAGGATTTGCTTCTCAATTCAAGACACACTTCATCCCTGAAGAGCTAGTCTAACAGCATTTCGTATTTCATTACTGCGTCAACATCATGGAGAGTAAAATGCACGACTGATTATCCACAACACCAAAAAGAGAAAGAGATTACTTAGAATGGAGTATGCAGCTTTTAAAATCCTTCTGACTGAAATGAAAAGTGAACAGGTAGTCTGGTTTTGCCAGGTTGTTTCTTCTGTTTTCTTAATTTCAGCTGCCAGTTCCTTTCAGAAAATATCTCCTAAAACACCACTCTGGTTGCGTTTTTGTAGCTGTGATGGCACATGGTTTTTATTAGACTGATACTGTTGGGCACATAGGCAGTGGTTCTTCCGACTAACCTCTCTCCAGATTAGCTCCTGGCTAAGTATCAAGCATCAGGAATATTCAGCTGTCACAATACTCCAGGAAGATGTCTTCTGCTTACATTTCTCCTCTTGATTTTGTGTGGCTCAGCCTTTGAGTGTCATTGTGAAAATAGCTGATTACTGCTCATGATTGATTACTGGTTCTATAATTATTCACCTCTGCAAATAGTAACACGAACATCTGGACAACATCATACTGTGTGCCGACTGGATGTGGCTCGATTCTTGGTCTCATCCTGGGCACCTGGCCAGCGTTCTGGGTGGGATTGATAATGGGAGCATAACAGTCTGCATGTTAACACGATTTGTGCCAAAGACTTACGTAAGGTGTTTGTTATAAAAGTGGGAGACCCCCAGGCTGACTCCTGAAGCCCCATCTATGGGTGGATGCACCACACAGGACTTTTCCAACAACTGCAGATCTCCAGGTCCCGGCTGCCGAGGGGTTTCCCAGCTGGT